TGGCCTGGGAGATGCTCGTGGTGCTGTTACTGGACATGCCTTCTTTCATTCCGCTGCCCCTGAAACAACCCAAATTAAGGGGTTGGAAGAGCTGCTTTTCCAAAAGTAGGACGAAGACTCCTCCTCAGCTCTCTCCTCCCTTCCCCCGTTCCTGCAGCATCTCTGTCCAGGCCGAGGAGCAGTGGGAGCTGACCCTCCTGGGGTAAGAAAGACGCTTCATCAGAGCGATGGGAGCAGGGTGTTGGGCTTTTGTTTGTAAGACTTCGCAGCGCCGGCGAGAGGGAGCAGAAGGTGACAGGGGGTCCCAGAGTTACTTTCCTGCCCCCACGACCATAATGAGACCTTGACATCTGTACCGTGCTTTGTTCGTAATAAATCATTTTCATACACCCTTGTTTACTCATTCTTCTAGCCGACCTTAAAGTTGCAAACTTTACAAAATACACCGAGTTTTGTTTTGTGTGTAAAGAAAGTGCAAACTGCAGAGAAGCTAAACCAAGGGCCAAAGGTCCCGCAGCCAAATTTCATGGACCCAGAACCCAAACTCAAAGCTTCGAAGCCCAGTTAGAGGTTCTTCCTACTGTCTGTGGAAAATACGGCGCCCTCTAGTCATCTGTAGTGCTAAAGGCAAGTTTCTCCCAAGTGAGCTTGCTGGGTTATTAATTTGAATTTGTTGTCATTCCATACAGTTGACATACATACTTTTATGTTGGGAGTTTGTTTTTAAGCAAGAACACACACGTACACACGTACACACGTATACATGTACACACCTATCCCAAGCACAGATTTGTTTTTCTAGAAGGGGGAAGAAATTCTCCCTGCCCCGACATGTGATCACACTGGAGGACCACTGTGATGCTGACTGTCCCACAAGAAAGCACACGCCATAGACTACAGTTACCCCATCTAATGAGAAAGTGCCTGGAGGGGGCCCACCATTTCAGCCCGAGAGCTGGGGGTGGGTCCCACGGGTGACAGTGGTTTTCACCAGAGCACAGGGAGGTGTGAGAGGCTTGGCCAGGCCTGCGGTGGGCAGGCCACTCCCTGGGCTTTCTGACAAACACACTAACTCTCTGGCCCGGATGAGGAGTGATGGCAACTTCATTTGTCCACAGGCAATGTTTGAAAAAAATAAAACTTTCTCTTTTTTTCCCTAAAAGGGTGTTGGAAGAAATTGCAATTTATTGAAAAT